AGCCACGGGGTTCCTAAGACGATGTCGCACATCAAGTGCATGACATCAAATGGGACCTGACTGCGGAGGGTTCCGACGGTCATGATGGTCTTGGGAACCGTGCGCTCTACTACGAGGGCGGTGTCTTTGTCCCTTAGGCGAATCGTGATCGGGGAGTCATAACCGGTAGAGGTAAGACCGGCTTTGCGGACACACGCGTCGATGGTGAAGTTACCGGTGGCTCCAATGTCGTGGAGGGCCCGGAACTTAGTTGTAGATGCATCAGGGGTGGCAGCGATGAATTTGAGGTGGAAACGAGATGAGTTGGCGGTGGAGATGATGGTGTTGAGGCGGCGTTGTTCGATGCCTAAGCGGACAAGCCGATCGTGTCGGGCTTGTTCCTCAACAACATCGGAGAAGGTGATAGTGGATGAATTCGGAAGAAGTACCGCAAGTCCCGCCGGTTGGGACAGAGAAGGTGAGCAGCAGGGTGCGCCGGCTCCAGCATATGAGCGAGTCGAGCCTGCACCCTATGCACAATGTAGTGTTCAAGATCTGCCAGAAGTGCACAAACCTCCTTTGCCACCTGGCGTGCCAGATCCCATGTCCACTCAACCACCCGTGACATGTGCAGCCCTCCGCGGTCCAACCTGCGCAGCAGGTCGTACACAGGCTACATGATATGGAACAAGATGCCCATGGAATCCCACCAACTGCCATGTCGCACCTGCCACCTGACCCACCTAGCCAACTGACGAACGAAATGGTCCCAAGGGACCATACCCCAAGTATCGCCATCCACCGTCCTCTCCAGAGCTGACCTCACTGCCAGCAAACACTCCACCATCACGAACACGGATGCAAAACGTGTCTTGCAAGGATAGATGAGGCCCATCTGAGTGCTCTCCCCCCGGAAGATATGGAGAGCGGCGTCGTGCTCCTTAATGAAGCGCACCACCGCTCTTCCGCTCACGATGATGTCCTTGGACCACGGGCCCGAACAACCAATGTCTGACAACATCTTATTGCAGACATGCACTGCGCATGGGAGCCACGTGATCCGTCGATGCTCCGACCTCTGTTGGGGCCCCTGAAGCATGTTCGCCGAGGCGGAGTCGGTGCAGATGGCGTTCACCCACTTAGGGGAGAAGTCATCGAACACCTTGATCCTGCGCGCCAACACATCAAGCGCCCGATCCCGCTCACCCTCCCTGTTCATCGCCCGGACGAGCATCACCCCACGAGACCCGCCGGCAAGGAAGTTCACGATGGGTCTAGCATCGCGTGACTTCCTTCCGTCTGACATGATGGTGGTCCCCGTGACATAGAAAGGAGCCCTGACCTCCGCGAGATCAGCTCCCAAATCGTCCGCCGTGTGTACAATGGTCTCTATGTCCGCGATCTCATTCTCTGAAGGCCACAACACCTTCACTGGCCCCGGCAAGTCCCTGAAGTGTCGGACGACGTCCAACCATGGCTCGCTCCGGAACACGTTGAATGTCAGGCGCTGACTGTACACAAAGCGCGGCCACTTCTTCTTGAACTCCATCTGCCACTTTGACGTGACTGACTCTGTGATCGTGTTTTGTCTCATCCTCTTCTGTGTTGCAGCTGCTGCCGTCGGTCCGTCACCCTCCTCTCTCTCCTTCCTCTTCCCCGCAGACGCACCCACCTCAGCCGTATCCGCACCTGCCCGTGTACGAGCCGACACGTGCACCGATGCAAAGTTCTGGCCCTGATACCCCCCCGGCTCGCTGACAATGCCCTTCCCTCGCTCCCTCCCTGACGACCCCGCCCGTGCAACCTCCTCGACGTCGTTGTCCACGTCGATCTTCTCCCCCGCGTCC